GCAAATATTCTCTCACATTCTGTGGGCTGCCTTTTCATTCTGTTGATAGTGTCATTTAATGCACAAAACTTTAAATTTTGATGAAGCCCAATTCATCTGTTTTTCCTTTGTTTGACTGCATGTTTGGCATCACATCCAAGAAATTATCGCCAAATCCAATGTCATAAAGATACTCTCTTGTTCTCCTGTATTTTCCTCTAAGAGTTTAACAGTTATTGATCTTTAGTTTTAGGTGTTTTTTGAGACAAGAGTCTCACCCTAGGCCGGGCGCAGTGGCTCACATCTGTAATCCCAGCAGTTTGGGAGGCCAAGGCAGGCGGATCCCTTGAGGCCAGGAGTTGCAGACCAGCCTGACCAACATGGCGAAACCCGTCTCTACTAAAAATACACAAATTAGCTGGGCATGATGGCAGGCGCCTGTAATTCCAGCTACTCGGGAGGCTGAGGCATGAGAATTGCTTGAAACTGGGAGGCAGAGGTTGCAGTGAGCCAAGATCGCACCAGTGCATTCCAGCCTGGGGCATACAGCGATACTGTGTCTCCAAAAAAAAAAAAAAAAAAAAGAATCTCACTCTGTGGCCCAGACTGGAGTGCAGTGGGACGATCTTGAGTCACTGCAACCTCTGCCTCCCAGGTTCAAGAGATTCTAGTGCCTCAGCCTCCTGAGTAGCTGGGATTACAGGCATGCACCACCATGCCCAACTAATTTTTGTATTTTTAGTAGAGATGGGATTTCACCATGTTGGGCAGGCCGGTCTAGAGCTCCTGGCCCCAAGTGATCTATCTGCCTCAGCCTCCCAAAGTGCTGGGATTACAGATGCGAGCCACTGCACCCAGCCCTACATTTATTTATTTATTTATTTGAGATAAAATCTCCCTCTGTCATCCAGGCTGGAGTGCAGTCGCATGGGATTATTGATGTGAGCCATTGCACCTAGCCCTACTTTTATGTGTGCATTTATTTATTTGAGACAGGGTCTCCCTCTGTCATCCAGGCTGGAGTGCAGTTGCGTGATCCCAGCTCACTGCAACCTTTCCAGCTCACAACAGAGGCGAGACTCCGTCCCAAAAAAAAAAAAAAAAAAAAAAAAAAAACAGGGAATAAGACCAAGATAAACACTCCAAATATGTGGTCAAGCTGATTTTTTTTTTCTTTTTTCTTTTCCATGAAATGCGTTTCGCCCTTTGCCAGGCCTGGAAGTACAAGGGCGCAATCTTGGCTCAGCGCAACCTCCCCGCCTCCCAGTTCACCAATTCTCCTGCCTCAGCCTCTGGAGTAGCTGAGATTACAGGCAAGCGCCATCAAGCCAGCTCGTTTTGTATTTTTTTTTCTTCTTCTCTCTCTTCCTTTTTGAGACACGGAGTCTTGCTCTGTCGCCCAGGCTGGATTGCAATGGCACAATCTCAATTCCCTGTAACCTCCGCCCTACCTGGGTTCCAAGCCGATTCTCCTGCCTCAGCCTCCCGAGTAGCTGGAACTACAGGCGCGCGCCACCACACTGGGCTAATTTCTTGTAGTTTAGTAGAGACGGGGTTCACCGTGTTACCAGGATGGTCTCGATCTCCTGACCTCGTGACTGCCCGCCTGCCTCCCAAAGCGCCTGGGATTACACGCGTGAGCCACCGCGCCTGGCCTCATTTTGTATTTTTTAGTAGAGATGGGGTTTCACCATGGTTGGCTCGGCTGTCCTGGAACTCTCCGACCTCAGGTGGATCCACGTGCCTCAGCCTCCCAAAAGTGCTGGGATTACAGGCATGACCCCACTGTGCCGCGGCCCTTTTTTTTTTTTTTTTCCCAAACGGAGTCTCCCTCTGTTGCCAGCTGGAAGTGCAGTGGCACAATCTTGGCTCACTGCAACCTCCGCCTCCTGGGTTCAGCCAATTCTCCTGCCTCAGCTGGAAACTACAGGCCACATGGCACCACGCCCGGCTATTTTTTTTTTTTTTGCATTTTTTATTTATTCACCCATATTTGGCCAGGCTGGTCTTGAACTCCTGACATCGTGAATCTGCCCGCCCTCAGCCCTCAGAACGTGTGGGATTTACAGGCATGAGCCCCTGCGCCTGCCATGGGTCAGCCTGATTTTTGCACAAAGGTGCCAAGACTATTTCAATGGGAAAAGGACAGTCTGTTTAA